TGCGTACCCGGAAAGTGTTTTAACTGGAAGGTCGGTCAGCAATGCACAAAAGTTAGTTTATGAGCCAAATTGGAATGCCGTAGCCTGATTCGTTTGGCGTTTCAAAACAAACTATTTTGATGTTCATGCAATAAACCTCGTGAACACCTCTGGATAGACCTCACCTGGTTCCTACCCCTGTCGACCCGCTGGTTATTTTTGGGAATAAGGAAAATTTCCCGAAATGTAAAAAAAACGCTTTTATAACTTTCTCTGTTTCCCAAAAATTGCAGACTCTGTACCGTTAAACTGTCAAATAAATGCCATTCTCATACACCACGCGATAACGCAAAAATCCGCTTTGGAGGTTTACTTCCCTACCAAACCTGAAATCTTTCACACTCATTAGAAGACTAACATGGGTTTTTATGTCCTTTTTGATTTGGCTTTCAGATAGATGCGGCCTTTTTACTTTGGACTGAATACCCTGATCGCCTCGTTGGCTTTAACCCTCGCCATCATCTGTGGAACTCGAGTTCGAGCACTTGGCAGTATTCTGCTAACCCTCTTGAGGCGGAGTACTATTCCATAATTCTACTTAATGCCGCTGTCTACCATAGGCAAGTTCTCTGTTCTGTTCCTTTCCTGACTAAGAGGATGGATTATACTTTCTGTTCAATTAGGGGAATTTGCGGAAATTTAGCTGAATTAATATTTTACAACCGCAAATATAATCTGTTATAACCATCTGGTAGCAGCTTTCTTTGTCTTGTTCGGAATTGTTTGAGAGTAGGCACTAGTTCCTTCTTACTTGTTCAGCATGTCTTACGTAATGCGGCAGTGTCGTTTGACACGAAACAGGAAAACTCATTTTTGTGTATATAAGGCTGGCTAATGACAACTAGTAAGCCAGAAACGACCATTGCACCCTCCCTCATCTTTGTCGGTAACGTTCTTCTGCCTATAAGGCCCATCATTGCCCCTCTGATATTTGCCAATTCATCTTAGACCGTAGTTCCTTTTCTGTTTACACTACTATAACTCAGTGATTGATTCTCCAGCCATTGGCGTCAACATTCTGGAAATTTCGTCTGGCTAGTAGCTTTAAAAAGCATAATATTTTGACCAAGCAAACGAGTTCTGCGCGTAGTTTGTTAACTCCATGTTGTGCTCAATGGTATTCCTGTTGCCCACAGGTAACGTCTTCATACACACCTCTTTGTCTCTACAATGCGTGGATGTAAGTCTTTCGAATAAAACTGAACGACCAAACTCATTGCCATGATTAAGGTCTACTATCGGTCTACCACCGCACGTACGAGGGCAGTAGCAAGTGGCCATCACTGAAGACATCCATCTACGGGGCAGCTG